GGGGCAATATACTGCACCAAGAGTGGTATCCAGTCCCTAAACAACATGCCTCCGGAAACTCTATGAACTCTGATAAACGTCAATAGTCAGGGGAAGGCTTCAGGCCTTTTATTCATAGGATCGTTATGAGTCATGCTCAACTCGAAAGCAATCAACAACAAATTGCACCAGGGATTGCCCAGCTCTCTCTCGCAGAGCAGCTGATGGGTTTGAACTGCATTCTTTTAGGACAGCAATGCAGCTCCTTACCACTAGACCACCAGACTCCCAGAGTGCCTTTATCAGTGCTGGAGGCAGTGGCACTCAGTGTTGATAGAATGCTTCTGCCTGAGAGCATAACTGGCCCTGGTCAGGGGTGAAGTAGGTGGATCTCTGAGGAGGCTTGCATGTGCCTCCCCTCTCTCTTCCTGCAGGGTACATATACACATTTCTAGATAAAGTATATATGTATATATTTCAATAATTTAATTAACCAATACTTAATCAATGTGGCTATTGGGGGTGGGGGTGAATAAAACAAGATTCAAACCCCGTGCCATGCCATGGACTCCAATTGTTGAAGAATCTCCGCTAGGTTTCCAGGGCTGTAAATCACAGTGAAAGGAGACTAGCCATCCTTCTCCTATTGACCCACTGGTGGATCTGAAACACAAGAGATACACATAGCCTTTGACTTAGCAGTCCAGCTTCATATGGACCATTCCACCAGAGTTCCCTGAGTCTGCATATATTATAAGAGGTCTGCTAAGAATCTGCACTGGAATCTCAAAGGCACACAGTTCAAATCCACACCTGCTCCACGGGAGAAGGATGGACAATTTCCTTCTGTGCAATTTACTCTAAAAACCTGCCAGAGGACCAGCTATGTGTCAGTTCTGACTTGAAGGCAAGTACTCAACAATAAAAACATAAAAAAATATAGAAAAAATTCTTACTGGTTTATTCTAAACTGTTTAGATTGTGTTTATAGAATGTTCTACATGCTGGGTTACATATTCGAATAATAAAAAATTCTGGAGCCAGACAAGTTTTGAGTACCCCAAGTTAGTAGCTCATCCTGAGCAGCATTTCACAATTCACTCCGTAAAAAATGGTAGTATATAGAATATGC